CAATATTTTTCCATCATGACTGAAAAACACATCAGAAGGATATATCATCACTTTACTGCAACTGAAAATCATATATTACAAAACTGGTCATGGACAAATACTAATTACCTATGTACATACCTGCGTATTCATCAGGGCTTTTAGACACTGTATGACTTTATGTTGATTTTTCTTTACAACTTTTTCTTGGCTGTATTGACATAAAAATAGCAGTGTTGGAATTATAATTGGACACATGAATGATGCTTACTTGAAAATAATTATTAGCAATACTTACATTTTTCCACTAATCAATTTTTCCAAAATGTCTAGTAATAATCCAAGCCCCTCATGTCCAAAGTTTTCCACCCAACTGAAAAACAGAAAAAAGATAGTCACACATTGTCAGTAATGCAGCTTGTGTTATCATAATGTTATATACCTACAAGTATTTTATATTTGCTATATTCCTAATTGTAACTAAAACATAAGAATAACACCACACATAAAAATTATTCATGACTCATAATCTTGGTTGCGAAAGAAGCAAAGATGGGATATGCCAATAGTGTGCTAAACTCTGCTTACACAAGTCTGTAAGAGCAGACTGTGCACATCTTTTACATGCTTCATGTTTAGGGACATCACATGGGTAGCTTGAAATCAGCCACAGTGAAAGTATTCATACCAAAGAAACTGGCAAACCAATCAGAGCCATCCCTGCCCACGCACCCAGAGCTGGCTCTAAATATTTACCAGCACACCACTAATTACTGCCTATTTGGGGCTATGCCAAAGAAGACAAATTGTACAAGTGAGTAAAGATCTATGGAGGAAAGATGTAGATCAACATAAAGAAAAAGATTACTGGCAAAAATTAATCAAAAAAAGCAGATGCTTTAGCAGAATTTCCCAAACCACTGAACTACATTCCTATAAATGTTAAGAATTTCCTAAGTTTCAAAGTTCAGTCGATTAAAAAAAAAAATGCATTGCTGGTTTTTAAATGAGTATCTCCATCTTCAGCAAACGAAATCTGTCCCATAAACCCACTAACCCAATCACAGGACTTTACATAACTAGAACATTACTGTCACTAAACAACAGCTTGCCTGGATTACAGGAAAACTACCTTAGTAGAGATGAATACCTTTTTTCAGTGGAGATTAGTAAACCTAGGCCAATAAATAATACAATGATAATAATCTGTTGCCAAAAGAATGAAGGAAAGAAAAGATACACGTGTGTATATTTATTTGGATGCATGTGCTTATACATGTGATTTTATGTATGAATATATGTAGTGTTTGAACAATAAGACGTTAAAAACAAAATTTCAGCCAGGCACAGTGGCTCCTGCCTGTAATCCCAGCACTTTGGGAGGCAGAGGTAGGTAGATCACCTGAGATCAGGAGTTCAAGACCAGCCTGACCAACATGGTGAAACCCTATCTCTACTAAAAATACGAAATTAGCCAGGCGTGGTGGTGCATGCCTATAATCCCAGCTACTTGGAGAGGCTAAGGCAGGAAAATCGCTTGAACCCAGGAGGCAGAGGTTGCAGTGAGCCAAGATCACGCCATTGTACTCCAGCCTGGGCAACAAGAGCAAAACTCCATCTCAAAAAAAATTTCAAGGAATGAAAAACAGAACATTATAAAGAATAAAAACAAGCTTAAGTCATACATCAAAAAATACCAAAATATCATATTTTCCTTAAGATACAATATAACATTTCTAGTGAAAACAAGAGAATAAAAACCAAATGCAATATATTTATATAAAAAATACAAATATTATTTAAAATCCAGCTTCTTCATTTGCACATTTCTGTAAACACAACTTGACACCTATCAATGTTGAGGATTTCTGATTTTACAAAAAAGAAAAAGAAATTTGCCATATAGATTGGCAATCTCTTGTCAGACAATATTTTACTCATATCTTGCCAGTGAAAGCCATGAAATAACTAATTTTTAAAATGCACTTAAACAGGAAAGATACTCTCTTGTGAAAGACTGAAGATTGCTATTATAGTTAACGTAAGGAAAAATGTTAAACAGAGGTTGCTGTTTTCAAACCAGGATGCTACTTCAAAAGTGAAGGGTTTACTCTTTACTATTAGCGACAGACAGATTACCTACAGGCATTTTGAATCTTGTTTTCATGATTCATGAAAACAACACAGCATCTCACTTAACTGTTTGCCTTGTTGACATCCTATTCTGAATTTATTCCTATTTCACATGCAGCAGGGAAGTGAGAAGTAATCTGAGAGTTTTACTTGGGCTGACATTGAGATGCATGGAGAGAGACTGTTCATAAGGCACTCCTCTTTAATACTTCACAGAGGGCCTTCAGTATTTTGTTTGAAGTAAATTTTCAACAATCTCCATATTGAAAAGTACAGCCACAAAGATATTCTAAAGCCAATATAAATGGTTTCAGATTATTCATACTGCTATCACCTTTAATCATTGTGAAGAATAAAATCACTGTTCATCAAACTGCCTCACACCAAAACAGGCAAAGTAATTTTAAATTATGCGAATATAACGAAAAGACTTAGTTACACTTAATATGCTTATATTATGACCCATTATAAAATTTAAGAAGCACAAATCCATGTAAATCAGTAAGTTCTCTGATCTACATAATTAATAATAAAAATAGCTATTTAAAATTTATTACCCTTAACATAATTATAACTAGAATAGTGGGACTCATAGATGGTCTAAAGTCAACTATTTCTAGACCCACTATATAACTCTCTCCTAAACTACAGAATATGAACTATTCAAATACAATTTATGCCTACTCACTCATTTTATATATAAACAAATTCTCTATAAAACAAAACTTATTAAAGTTCCATGCTCAACAATAAAATGAGAGTTGGGCAATGGCCTTCTGAAAACCAGATTACACATTATATTTCATAAAACATGTCAAAAACAAGAAAAGTGGGACAGGGTACAGGGAAAGAAAACTGAGACACTTGACAACCAAAGAAACAATATAAGAATTAAAAGAAAGCTAACAAAAGTACTTATTAAAAAGATTAAAAATTAAATATGCATAAAATGTCTCCCTGTTTTCTTAAAAATTTGCAAACTCAACATACTGTTGTATTAACAAGTATCACTCATAAAGCAATAATCTCAAGTGTTTCACTCTCACCCCTACTATTTTCAGCAATATTATTTTTAAGGACGGGGTACGAAATCACTTCCTATTTCCACCGGAAAAGATGTTCAAGATAAAAAGTGATATTGAGTAGGTAGGTCTGCTGTCTTGACAGAGGTTTATTGAGATCCATAGCTTTCTACAAAAATGAAAAATTTCTCATCATCAGTGTAAGAAGCAACCTAGAAAAAAATTATCAACTGATCTATAAATGATCAATCTCCAGGAACTAAAATCTGCACTATTTCTTCTGTGCCTATCAGCACAGTACCCTCAGGCATTATGTGGTTTAACTATAAACTGCATTCATGGATAAATATGCACATGTTTCTTTTTCATGAATAGAAATGACATAGAGATCAGTATGACATTTGTATCAGAAAAAACTGCTTTAAAAGAGCAACCGTAGTGTGCTAAATACTAATTTAACACAAAATCTACCTCTTAAAATTCTGTAACAGGAAATATCAAACTCCTCTAATTGCCTCAAGGAAAACTTCTAAGTATATTACCCTTTAGCACTCCTAGTAGGGGTCTCAATATAGGAGAAAAGAAGAGATGAATTTTAATAAAAATTAAAACAAACAAAAAAAAATAGTAGGAGAGGGAGAACAAATCCCCAGAATTACAATGTTTAACCCGCCTTTAAATGGTCAAAAGCAGCTTAGGCTTTGAAATTCAGTTACTACTTCCAGAAACACAGGATGAAGAAAGTGTATAAAGTGGTTTCTGACACGTTGTTGGCTTTAGGAAGCAAATAAACGCAGTCACCTCATTGAGCAATACAGGCAACAATCAGGTCTCAGATTTATCTCCTGGCCAAAAGGAACAAAGCACTCTCAAGTATTTTTCCCCAAAGACTGACCCTCCTACCCTTCCTTTGTTTTGTTTAAAGTTACTACCTTTCTTCCCAGATGTGCTGTAGAAAGGGAAAGACAAATGCATCATGAATTATAATGGAATTAATCTTGGAATTATTACCCTTATGATCTGGAATAAACATACCAGATCATAAGAGCAATCTCAGATCATAAGAGTAATCTTACCTGATGCATACTCCTTGAGTATAGGGACCATTTCTTATATATCATATTTATTCAAGCATGGGATAGACTGAGCACTCAATAAATCTTTTTATAATGAAACTAAGTCTCTTCTATTGTTATATATAAGAGGTTACAGTAACTTAGAAATAACATCTAGGTCTGCTGATAACCAGGCTTGTGGCCTTTATGTATGCAGAAATAAACACAGAGATGACAGATCTCCACACCATGACTGAACCTGTCTCAACCTTCAAGCTAGAAATTTCAATTGCAATTTCAGAACTGTTATTTATTCATACTGAATCAAAGATGATAAAACCAAAGACAGGGTCTCAGTCTGTCACACAGGCTGGAGTACAGTGGCACAATCATGTCTCACTGCCCCCTCAACCTCTTGGGGTCAAGCGATCCTCCTGCCTCAGCCCTCCTAGTAACTGGGACTACAAGCATGTGTCACCACATTCATCTAATTTTAATTTTTGTAGAGATAAGGTCTCACTATGTTGCCCAGGCTAGTCCAAACTCCTGACCTCAAGTAAATCCTCTCACCTTAGCTTCCAAAAGTTCTGGGATTACAGGTGTAAGCCACTACACCTGACCAAGTCAGCCTTTATTAAAGGGAACACTGTGTTCTTGATACTGCACTAAATACGAGAAATACAAAACTGAATAAAGTATGTTCTCTGCCCTTGAAAAGATCACAGACTAGTGGTTAAAACAAATATCGAACAAAATTATTTCCATAATGTAATAAATGCTATAGTCATGGCTCTCTGGGAACAGAACGTACAATATCTACCTCTCTTGGGAACTTCAAAGCATCTGCTGTCTGACCTGAGTCTTTCTAAGCAGGAGGGTATACACATGAAGACTTAAACATAAAAGAAATGGCCTGTGCTGAGCAACAGAGAAAGCTGTATCAGAGATAAAACCAAACAGGTAAGAAAGGACTTGATCTTGAAAAACCACATATATAATGCCATGGGCAATGGAAGGGCATAAAAGGACTAGGCATATGTAGTAAAGAAAGTAATTCTACCCTTGCCCAACAAAAGATCTGCACATCTTAAACTCAGAACCTATAAATATATTAGCTCATGTAGCAAAGGAGAAACTCAAGTTGCAGATGGAATTAAGGTTGCTAATTAGATGATTTTAAAATAGGAAAATTAACCTAGTTTATCCAGGTGGTTACAATCTAATCATATAATTCTTAATTTCCCAGCTTAGTTAGACAGATGAGATGAAAGAAAGCGAGTCAAAGCATAAAAAGGGATGGGCACCCTGGCTCACACCTGTAATCCCAGCACTTTGGGAGGCTGAGGTAGGTGGATCACTTGAGGCCAGGAGTTCGAGACCTGCCTGGGCAACATGGAAAAACCCCATCTCTACTAAAAAACAAAAATAGCCGGGTGTGGTGGTGAGTGCCTGTAATCCCAGCTACTTGGGAGGCAGAGGCAGGAGAATCCCTTGAACCCAGGAGGCGGAGGCTGCAGTGAGCCAAGATGGTGCTACTGCACTCCAGCCTGGGCAACAGAGCAAGGCTCTGTCTCAAAAAAAAAAAAAACAAAACAAAAAAAAAAAAAAAAACATAAAAGGGACTCAACTTACCTTTACTGGTTTTGAAAATGAAGGAGGCCAAACAAGAGCCAAAAAATGTAGGTAGACTGAAAAACCTGGGAATGGCCCTCAACTGACAGCTAGAAAAGAAATGAGTCTTAATCCCACAATCACAAGAAATTGGATTCTGCCAATAACCCAAATAGACAAACAAATTGAGTCTCTTATTCATAAACACTAGATGTCTCCATTTATTTGGATCTTCTTTAACTCCTTTCATCATTATTTTGTAGTTTTCAGCATAAAAGTCTATGGCTAATTCATTAAAATTACAATTATTTTTTGAGCAATTATGAATAGTATTGTGTTTTTAATTTCATTTTCCACAAGTTCATTGCTAGTACATAGAAATACAATTTTATATTTTTATCTTGAATCCTGCAACCTTGCTGAACTCAGTGATAAGTTCTAGCAGTTTTTGGTAGATTTCTTGAGATTCTCTATGTAAACAACCATGTCATTTGCAAATAGGAACAGTTTTATTTCTACCTTTCTGACCTGCATGCCTTTATTTCCTTTTCTTGCTTCAGTGTTCTACCTAGAACTTCCCCATGGTGTAAAATAAGCATCCTGAAAGCAGGCATCCTTGCCTTGTTCTCAATCTGTCTTAGAGGGAAAGCATTTAGTCTTTCATCACTAAATAGAATATTAACTACAGGATTTTTTTAGATCTCTTTACCAAGTTAAGAAATTTCCCCTCTGTATTAGTTTCCTGGGGCTGCAGCAACAAAGTACCACAAACTGAGGAGTTTAAAACAACAAATATATTCTCTTGTAGTTCTGGAAGCAAGGTGTTCAAAATCAAAGTGTCAGCAGGGCTGCTGCCTGGCACTCTGGGTAGAATCCTTCACTGCCTCTTCCTAGCTTCTGATGGAAGCTGCCAATCCTTCCAGTCATCACATGAGACTCTTTCTGTATCTCTGCTTTCTTTTTTTAAGGACACAGTCATGTTGGATCAAGACTTCACCCTACTCCCTTATGACCTCATCTTAAGTAATTACACTGCAATGACTCTGTTTCCAAAAAGGGCCACATTCTGCAGAGACAGGGTGTTAAGAATTTACATATATCTTTCTAGGTTTACAACTGAACTCACCCTCTATTCCTACTTTTCTCAGAGTTTTCATTATGCACAAGTGTTGAATTTTGTCAAATGCTATTTCTGTATCGATTCAAATGATCAAGTGACTTTTCCTCTTTTGCTTGTCAATACAATGCATTATATAAGGATTTTTGTAACTATATTCATGATGAACATGGGTTTGTAAGTTTGAGGGTTTTGGTTTTGTTTTGTTCTATCTTGGTACTGTATTGGTCTGGTTTTGCTATCAGGTAATTCAAGCCTCATTTAAAAGAAAATTAATTGTTCTCTGCTCTGTTATTTTCTGGAAGAGACTATGGAGAATTGGCATTAATTCTTCTTTAAGTTTGTGGTAAAATTCTCCAGTGAAATCACCTGCACCTGAAGATCTTTTGCTGGGGAGGAGGAACTTAATTCTCTTAATAGTCAGAGGGCCATCCAAATTATCGATTTCATGTTGGGTGTGTTTTAGTAGTTTGTGTTTTTCAAAGAACTGATCTAGTTCATCTAAGTTGTTGAGCTGTGTATTTAAAGTTGTTCAAAGTATTTCCTTATTACCCTGTTGATATCTTGGTAATATTTCCCATTTAGTTCATGAAATTGGCAATCTGGCCACTGATTTCAAGATGTTTTTATTTATCTTTAGTTTTCAGTTTTTTTTTTTTTTTTCAGACAGAGTCTCACTCTGTCTCCCAAATTGGAGGGCAATGGTGCAATCTCAGCTCACTGCAACCTCCGCTTCCTGGGTTCAAGCAATTATCCTGCCTTAGCCTCCCAAGTAGCTGGGACTACAGATAAACGCACCACCATACCCGGCTAATTTTGGTATTTTTAGTAGAGACGAGGTTTCACCATCTTGGCCAGGCTAGTCTCAAACTCCTGACCTCAAGACACCCACCCATCTCAGCCTCCCAAAGTGCTGGGATTATAAGCGTGGGCCACCGTACCCAGTCTAGTTCTCAGGAATTTGACTTTGATATGTTTGTGTGTGAATTTCTTTGAGTTTATCCTGTTTGTGATTCAGTTTATGTAAGTTTATATCTTTTGCCAAATTTGAGAACTATTCAGCCACATACATATACATATATATACGTATGTGTGTATATATATATTATTTATTTATTTTCAAACAGAGTCTCACTCTGTCACCCAGGCTGGAGTGCAATGCGCAATCTCGGCTCACTGCAACCTCCTCCTCCCGGGTTCTAAGCGATTCTCCTGCCTCAGCCTTCCGAGTAGCTGGGACTACAGGCACATGCCACCACGCCTGGCTAATTTTGTATTTTTAGTAGAGATTGGGTTTCATCATGTTGACCAGGCTGTTCTCAAACTCCTGACCTCAGGTGATCCAGCTGCCTTGGCCTCCCAAAGTGCTGGGATTACAGGCATGAGCCACCGTGCCCACTCTATTCAGCCATTATTTCTTCATGTACTTTTTTATCCTGTCCTCTTTCTCCTCTCAAGACTTCAAGGACAAGAATGTTAGATCTTTGGTTATAGACCCATAATTCCCTGAGACTCTGTATGTATTTTTTTCCCAATCTATTTTTTCCTGGTTGTCCAGATTGTATACTTTCTATCATTCTATAATCTAGTTCACTAATTCTTTCCTTTCAGTCTCATGTTTTGCTTTTGAAGCCCTCCAATAAGCTTTTTACTTCAGTTATTGTATTTTTCACTTCTAAGATTTCCGTTTGGTTCTTTAAAAGAAGAAATAAAGTTTCCTCTATTTCTTTGCTGAGACTTTCTATTTTTTTTCTTTTGTTTCGGCACATTCCTATTTGCCTATTGTAACACTTTTATGATGGCTGCTTTTCAAAAGATTCTTGTCAGATAATTCTACCATCTCTGTCATATCAGTGTTGTCATCTATTGTCTTTTTTCACTCAGTTTGTGATTTTCTCGCTTCTTGGTATGACATGTTTTTTATACTGAAGCTTGAAAATTTGGGATATCGTGTTAGAAGATTATATAAATCTTATATAAACCTCTTATTTCAGTAAGCTTCCTGTGGCACAGCTCCAGTGGAAGAAGACAAAGCACCACCTCGTTACTGCAAGGTGGAGACAGAAGTCCAAGAGAGATTCTTTGTTACCACCTGGCATGGATGGGAATCTAGGCACTCCCTGATGGAGAGAAGGACTGCCTCATGATGCTCACCATGTAACCTACAATAGCACCATGGAAGGGGGATGTGGACGTCTGTTATCACTGGGTGGTGGTGAAAGCCCTGACTCTATTGGCCACTTTGGACACAATGCCAGTGGGGAGGGGGAAGAATGCCTCATTGCTGCCCTCTGTAGGTAGAAATCCAGGCTACCCACTTTGCTTTTTGATAGTGGGGACAGGCGGTGGGGGGAGTGGAGATGGGGCCACAGATTTCTTTCTGTGGTATTCAGCAGAAATATAGAGCAGTTATTGCCAACATGTTCTGTCTTGTTTGCTGCCATTTTTGTGGTCCTTTGGTTTAAGAGAGAAGGCTTCTGTTGGGACTTCTTTGTTCTGTGCCCACTGTCATTTCTGGGTTACTCACTTCTTCACCTCCAAATCTGACAAAAAGGCAGAAAGACAACCCAGCAAACTCACAAGCATATTGTTCCTTAAGTCCCAAGGTTCCTAGCCTGTCTTCTTCTATTTGTTTCACATATAATGTCCAGTATGTCTAGTTGTGCTTAGCAAAAAAATTTAAAAAAAAATAAGAGTGTATTTAGTCTATCTTTCAAACACAAGTCTGAAACATCCACTGCTAGAGTGTGAGAATAGGCAAAAACTCCCACCAAGAAAATCAGAAAAAGGCAGTGACAGTGGTAAGAGGAGAACCAAGTAAACCTGACATAACAAATCCAAAGGAAAGAAGAAGTTTCAAAAGACAGAGGAGTCAAGAGTCAAGTGCTAAAATGAGGTCAAATAAAATAAGGGCTAAAAAGAACTATAAATAAATGAATTCAAGAGCAGTTTGTAAATAATTCTGTGGAAGTGAAATCCTGATTGCAAAAGAATTAAAAGACAAAAGGGGTAGTAAGAAGAAAGAAAAACACATAATTTGGGATTAAAGAGTTGATGGAAGAAATTTGTAGGACTGAAATGAGGATAATGAAAAAAAAAAACCGTGTGCAATAAACACTATTACAAAAATAAACAGAGAATATTAGAGGAGCAAAGAAGATGCCTACCTCACTTAGCTAGGGCCTAGGAACAAAACCAAACTTAAAAAACTATGCCTACAATCTTGAAGTGGAATGATGCTCATATATCTTAAGTTTAAAAAGCAGAAATAGTATATAAGGTGTTTTCTATTATTATTCTTCAATGTTTTGGTTCACATATAAGAAATGTATTACATATGTGTAGCTATACAAACACATTCTTAATCATCCTCCACCTAGTCAGCTAATTCAAGGCTTGTGTTCTACTCTCTTATACATCCCCACACACTGCTCCCACCAGAACCAGTTGGGTTTGTTTCCAAATCCATTCTTGACAGTTGTACTTACTATTGTATTTATATGATTAATATTATATAAACAGATAACACACAATTGGGGAAAGAGGTACTTCTGTGAAAACTAAGCCTAATGATTTGGAAAGTTAAAAATAGATTACTTTTTAAATTGCTGTAAAAGTAAATGTGGGAACCACCATATATTAAAGGGAAATCGTAGTACCAAAAAAAAAGTTGTTTTTTTTTTTTTTTTTAGCAGAAGTATAGTTCTGCATTCAGATTGCTTTGCCAGAGCCTTTATGATCCTGTTCTACTTTAAAACACCAACATCAGGAAGACAATGCATTATGGGTATGCTTTATGCAATCAGCCTTTGCCCACTCCAAGAAAAGGTCTGGGCACTACATGAAATGTCTAGAGAAAAAATGTTTATCCTTTAGATTGAAAAAAAAATGTTTGGAGTATATTTGAATCATTTATTTGATGATTACATGCTTTAAGCAAATTTTTAACCAATCAACCAACAGTATTAGACAGGAAGACTTCCTCTGTAGACAGAGTGTCTGTCTGTCTGTCTCTCTCTCTCTCTTCCTCCAAGAAGTTAGTGTCTATTTAAGTAGATAATATTATACATTTTTCTTGATTTTGCTTTTGTGTATTTTCTTATTGTCCTATAATGAACTTATATTTTTTTGTAATAAGAAAAATATTTTTAATTACCCAAAAAAATAATCTTACATGAATGCCTAGGGAAACACAAACCTAGATGGTTTAAAATCAATACACAAAGCTTCTTAAAAGGAGAAAAAAATACATTACTGCTCACATGTGACAAACTAACAAATTTCGTACCTTAAAATTGGAAGGTCAGCTTTAATACTGTATAATATCTAGATCCAATTTACATTCCTCTGTCAGAGTAATAGATCACCAATGCTGAATATAATTATAGCTTATTTTAAGCTTTCATTTTCACCTACCTTTACCAAGGTGACTAAATACTTAAAATGAACAGTTCTAGGAGGGAGTACAAAGTACTTAGCATGCCCTGGGGGCAAGACAAACATACACCTACATGCCATTCAATGGTGCATCCACCCAAATTACACTAAATTACACAGCCAGGCTGGGAATTCAGGAACTACTATAAATAATGTTCAGATTGTCAAATCTACTAACTTTCAAAATACAACCACGAATATGTATATTTTCTTGAAATATACTTCTTAAGGACACTGTATATTTAAAAACAATCATTTATTCCCACTTTTCATATCAGATAACACAGTAATAAATGTAGTATTCTCCTAGTTTCTTTTTGGCTATAACATACTGAAAGGCATAAAATATCTAGAGAAAGCATTCCAAATAAAATGAAAATAAAACCAGGTTAACAGGAATGATAAAAAAACAAAGCACAAGAAACAAGAGTTCTTGACCTTTAGATGAAAAAACAGTAAAAGAACTATAGATTTTAAAACATAGATACTGGTATGTGCTCTAATCAAAACTTAAGTCCCCTATTAAAAGGAACATATTATAGAAAAGAAAATACCTTGTTTGGATACTAAGTAGTTTCTTAGTATCAAATTTAATATCGTTAGTTCAAAAAAAACCACTAAATTATTCATTTTAAATACAGACTAATTTGCCAACAATATATGTGGAAAAGACATTATGGTCACGTTTCAGGTCTTTCACCACTTGTTGCCACCCTAAATACTTGTCACTACTACCCAATGCTAGTCAGAGCAGTCCTAATTATTAAATCCATGATCTTCCCTTGATTCTATACATTTCACTGCTACCTTTGTGTAGCAATGCACTCATAATGCTCCCCTCCACAGAACTGAAATAATTTCATCTTTCAAGGCCAATTCACAGTTCCATCTTCTTTGAACTCTCACTGATTTGATTTCTCCATGTGCTCACCAAGTTCCATTCACTTGACCTCAGATACCCCTCCAGTTAGTTCCCATTTCTCTCCTCTCTTTTATAGCAAAAGGTCTCAAAAAATTTCTCACAAGCATGGTCAGCACTTTTTGCCATCCATTCACTCAATCTCACTTCAGTCTGGCTTCTACCACCAAGACTCCAAAAAAAACTATTTTCTCAAAGGATGCAACAACCTTCCTCTTGCCAATTCCAATAATACCATCTTGCCCTACCTCACAGCAGCGCGCTATGCAGTTTGTCCCTCCCTTATTTTGAAACACTTTTCCTTTAGGTCCAGAAATCAGCATTTGGCGTTCTCCTCCCCACTGGCTACTCCTCAGTCTGTGTTTCTGCCTCCTCTTCCCTTTCTGGATCATCTGTTTCTGAACTTTCTGAACTCGGAGTCCCTCAGAACTTGTTCTGACCACTCGCCTACATCTTTAGCTTCCTTCTCCATACAACCTGCCCACACTGAGATTCCATCCATTCTCAGGGCTTAAATATCTCCACTCCACATATGTAAGCTCTAGACTCACATATCTAGGGGCTTGCCTGATGTCTCAAACTGTGATACTCTATTTTAAACATGTCAAACTTAACATGTTAAAAAGGGATATTTTGGGCCGGGCACGGTGCCTCACACCTGTAATCCCAGCACTTCGGGAGGCCGAGGTGGGCAGATCACGAGGTCAGGAGATCGAGACCATCCTGGCCAACAAGGTGAAACCCCTTCCCTACTAAAACAACAAAAATTAGCCAGGTGTGGCAGCGGGCGCCTGTAGTCCCAGCTACTCAGGAGGCTGAGGCAGAAGAATCACTTGAACCTGGGAAGCGGAGGTTGCAGTAAGCTGAGATAGTGTCACTACACTCCAGTCTGGTGATAGAGCAAGACTCCGTCTCAAAAAAAAAGGGGGGGGAGATTTTTTTTCTTCTCCAAAATTCACGGAACAAGTAACAACCTCCTCCACCCCAGTTAACAGCACTACTATCTGCCTATTTGCTCAAGTAAAAAAAAAAACTTATTCTCAATTCCTCCTTTTCATTCACATCCTACATCCAATTCACCAACAGGTCCTACAGTTTCCACCTCCAATTTATCTGCAAGATTCACCCACCCCTTGGCCCACCACTGCTACAATCCTCATACAAGCCACCCTCCTAATTCATGTGACTACTGCCAGAGCCTCCTATCTCACACTTCCTTGTCCGCCCTCTCCTCCCTTCAATCAATTCTCCCTGATATGATTTGGGTTTTTGTCCCCATCCATATCTCACCTCAAATTGTAATCCCCATAATCCCCACATGTCAAGGGCAGGACCACGTGGAGGTAATGGGATCATGGGAGTGGTTTCCCGCATGCTATTCTCTCGAAAGCGAGTGAGTTCTCACAAGATCTGATGGCTTTATAAGGGGAATTTGTCATTTCCCCTGCTTCCACTCACTCTATCCTGCCACCCTGTGAAGAAGGTGCCTGCTTCTCCTTTGCCTTCTGCCATGACTGTAAGTTTCCTGAGGCCTCTCCAGTAAAGCAGAACTGTGGGTCAATTAAACCTCTTTCTTTTATAAATTACCCAGTCTCAGGCAGTTCTTTACAGCAGCCTGAGAAAACACTAACACACTCCCTGTAGCAGCTAAAGTTATCTTTTTAGAAAGCCAGAATAGTTCATCTCCTGCTTGAAACTCTTCAACAGACTCCAACTTCCATAGAATGAAAATCCAGTATCCTTACCACGATCTTTATGACCATGACCCCCCCCCCCGCATGGCCTGGCCACTGCCCACCTTCTCTGACAGCATTTTGGATTTTTCCATCCCTCTGCCACACAGTTTGTCCACCTCATGTTCAGTACTACTGTCCACTCTTCTCTAAACTAGTTCCTTGTCCTTTGGTGTCAAACTTCACCACCTCAGAAAGACTTTCTATAATCAGCTACATCAAAAAAACCTCTCCATTAATCACTCTCAGTCCCCATTTTTTCTTTACTGAACTGATTACACCTTTTTATTTTATTTCTTTGTGTTCTAGGTTTCTCTGTCCTATATGCTT